AATAGTCTAACTTATAGTTGGGTCTTAACTAATAGTCTAGTCTAGCAAGGGTAAAGAGATAAAACTGAAGTAGTAGGGGGTTGGAAAGGTCAATGTGTCATCAATTTTGCCAATGATTGTTGGTCCTGACAATTTCACGTGTTTAATTTTCCTGAAGGGCATGAAAATTGTCCTTACATATTGGAAACACCGGCAAGTAATCATATAGCGGGCTGGCCGGTCACCAAGATCTCGTTTTCACGTAAGAAATCCTGGTTAACAGGCTACAATCCTCTCCGGTTGCCGGAATGAAACATAAAGGATCGCGTCATCCTAAATCTCAGTACCCCAGGCTTAAATGATTCCTATGAGTAAATGGCAAGATTAGTCCCTCTAACAAGAAGATGCTATCGCTACATAACCCAGGAAGCTTTTTCTTTTATATGTGTGAGAAAAAAAGCTTTGAGGACCTGGTTGAGCCATTGATCACCTCAAGAGTCCAACACTCCAACAATGCCTACCTTAAAAACTTTCTGGCATTTTTCCATTGTTTTGGGATATCTCTTATCTTCCTCTAGCAGTGACAATCCCTTTTCAAGCCAAGGTAACATTTTTTTGTTGTTAAAAATTGTGCATATAAAACACACTAGAAAGAGACTCAAAGACACCGAAGCCCATCCGTACGTATAGACTTGACGGGCAGCAAGAAAGTCCAATGTTGCATGAGCAAGGAGCATAGCGAGCCACAGAAAGCCACCAAGAACTCCTTGAACACGATAATTTTTGTGCGAGTACCCCGTGAAGACAGACACGAGAAAAACAGGTCGTAAGACCTTGAACGTTCTAGTAGATGGCATATCAAAGTTTTCCGTGGTTCGTTGTATTTCTATTGGTTGAGAGATGTTCCCTTTTCCTCTTTTACTGAACAGGAATCGAAACATGGCTGCCCAAATGCGATTCGATCTGCGGCAAAACGACATAAAAAAAATTATCAATTACCAAAACACATTTTTTCGGTGGAATTGTTTACAACAGGACTTGCGGTTGTGGAGAAAAATGCTTAAGTTACTAAATTCCTGAAGACCCTGTGACAATTTAACCCCATTACCTCCCCCCCGCCCGCCGCTATTGTGCGGGCACCTTGAGCAATAAAAATTCAAGCCCGAGAGATATTGAGCGATGGTTCTGTTTGTTTAGAAAGCACCCCTATGGCTTCCAAAATTATACCCATTTCTTAAGATTAAGCCGATACCTTACTACTTCACATTTTAAAACTGCCTTTACTTTTTTTCGGTGATAAAAATAACTTTAGCGAGTTTTCACGACTGATTTATGCATCGAGACGACAAGAAATGCAAATATCTGCCAGCTCGTGGCGACTGTCAATAAAGTACATTTAAAAAGGAAATAGACAGGAACAAGTTTCTTCAGACAATTTATCGGTCGCTGACGAATTATTACTTAGAATGATAACTCTACATATTAGAGAGAAAATAGATTAAAGAAACAGTTTAATAACGACATTATGAGTTAAATGAGCTTAATATTACAGATGCGGGTCGTGCGGTCATTAGTTGTGAAGGGGGAAATCATTTACTTGATTTGTAGAGGACACAAACCGAATCGTTTTGGATTGATATTTCGCTTTAACGGGCATCAATCTTTCGCCAGAAAGGTTAAGATTTTGATGAAATTAACCACGATAGAAAGCTCATCGCGGTCAATGTTCAGTGAACCGAGGTGTTCAGATCGATATTGCTTCCAAAGTGTCAACGCTGGAAATACACTTTTAAGTTTGACTACAAAAGTATTACGCGAGCAAATATCGAAGTAAAAGTTGCTAATAGGAAAAGTCGATTCTTTGAAACAACTTATTTCACAGTCAACTGATACACGCAGTGTACAAGTTATGTAAATTTCGCAGGTAAATTTCAGTTCAAACTGACACCTTTACAAACTAAACATTGTGTTACCTTTCACTGGACGCTGCATTTTGGGGTCGGTATTAGACTTTTGAACTTCAAAACAACCTCTGATTTTTAAATATTGATTATAACGACAATCGACAAACTGAATTCGATTGCTTTCGCTTCAAGCACAGGAACGTTTTGAAGTCATTCGTAAAGCGAATTTGTATGACGTAGGTAGTTACTAATTGACACGAAACGTCAATCGCTAACTCAAACACCATTCCAAAATAGTTATGTCGACATTCATTTCCGATAAGATTGCCTTCATGCAAAAATATAATACTATTATTATTACGTTTTGCCGTTAAAATTCGCTAAGAATTTGAACAGATCAAGGTTGTGTTTACTTTTCAACATGCTGAATCACCGCGATTTTATTTCTGCCCGCTTCGCTTCGCGCTTGTTGAGCTCTAAAAGTATTTCATGCTCCCACTCGAGAAAACAAAACGAATGAATATGAAAACAATTAAAATCCGATGGACTGTCAAACATATCGAACGTCACCAGTCGAGAGAAAGATAAGCAGCAACTTACTTCCAAATAAGACCTTCAGCTCAGAGATCGGTCCAGACGTCGTCTGAGATCGGTCTAAAAGCGGTGATTGCGAGACTCCACGGAATTCCGTTAGTTTCACCGCCTTGTTTGGTGAATCAGGAAATGTTTGCTGGTATGCAGACGATTTGGCTCACTTACTTACACTGTCTTTATCTCTTCCAGGTCGTTCTGTTTTAGATGGACGAGAGTCTTCTCCACATACATAGCTAAAGACTCATGGCATTTCGTCCGTGATAACTAATCCAGAGGATCAACAAAAGATACATTTGCATTAATGAATTCATTTCGAAAATATCTTAAGACAAAGGAAGTCTTAAAACTAATTTCCGCCTGTGGCCTGTTGCCCCGCGGAGTTTCTTAGAAAGAGCCGACTCCAATTCGCCAATCCCTGACGAGTTTTTTAACATTACATTGTACGTGCTGATCGTCATCACCTTCATCACCTTTTCAAAAAGGAAACTATTTATCAGCCGAACTATATACTACAAGATTCCCTTTATTTATTCCCTCCTATCAGTCGTGGGTACCGGAGTTATTCTGCAATCTCTATCCACAGGCCTGGATACCCTCGGGGTTGGGGTGTCCTCTCAGAAACAGGCGATGCGCTAAACTCAATTTTTCCCCTTTATTTAGATTTTTTTTCTTTCGACTTCGCCGAGAAGGAAGGACTGCGCTTAGTCTGGAAGAGACCGTTCGTAAAGCGTGATCCAAGGGAACCCAAAAATGAGTTCCCCACCCCTTCCCTCACGCTTGTTTGTTGGTCACGCTGGCCAGAATAGAAGAGGTGTTTCAAAGAGTGTATTGTTTTTCCCACTTGCACCATGGAGCCATCGCATATACACGCATGGCCATGAAATCAGTAGATCACTGTCGACTTATGCGGCGAAGGAACGCTGGGAAGTAAGGTAGATGACCGAGAGCGTTCTCGTATCACGGGGGTACGTCAGGTCGCCCCTGTCAATGAGAACAGTTTTTTTGATTCACGTTCAATAAGGCCACGATAGCACCTGACCTGAACCGAATTGTCACTAAGGGAAGTGTCCAGGGATTCCCGTGATCTATTTCTTTGCGTGCGACTCCTGCAGAGAGAGAAGGAGGGTTGGGGGGTTGGGAAACACTTATGAGACGCCCAGGTGAGGGTGTGCAGCCGGGGTAGACCTTTCATTAAGCAACGATATTCAAAAGGAAAAATCACCAGAGCTGCGGTATATCAATCTCCCTCTTGTCAATTCGGTTTATCCAGCCAGAATGTCTATTACAGTTTATACATATTTTACACGTTCAAGAGCCAACTAAGTAATAGGCTCCTGACACGTTAGATTATCATATAAGGAGTGGATTTTCTGGAGTCGAGGTATTAAAAGGGAAGGAAAGTTATGATGCCAGGTGATTGTGATCAACTGCCAACTAGCTGCCAATTCATTCAAATATTTCCGAGTTTACAACAAAAAAAAAAGGGTCACTGAACATTTTGATTTTTAATTCCTTTCTTATAGCAAAGTTCTCCTGACGTTAAGTCTGTATATGTTACTCAGTGGACACTATACAGCCAGCAAATTGATTTTGCGGCCAACCACAAGGCTGGCTGCAATTACAGCTCTTTGATACTTGTTTTCCCAAATATTCTTGCGGCAATCCACTTTCGTGGCCCGTCATGAATACGGTTTAAAGAGGATTAATAAATAAATCGTTGACGAGAAAATCACGCTATCCTATTTAATTCGCGTGATTTACTGATAGCATGCCATAGATTGAACAGAAAACACTTATTGATTGCAATAATATGTTAAATAAACAGGTTTACAAAATAATTCTTCCGTCAGCATCACGTGATTTACTCATTGCGTGTCATGATTTGCACCGCAATAGTTATTCGAGGAGCGGCAAAGGAAACAAAACTTGAATAAAGTAAGAATCAAATGTAACCAAGAAATATGAGAAAAGGTAACTGGTTTCCATCTTTCGTTTAACGATGTCAAGTTTCAAGGATGATTATAGTCTGCTTAGTTCTAATGTTTCTGCTTTGTTGAGTGAATCCACTTCTACTGTCATCACAAATATAATTGGTTCTGATTTTAGACCTGGATTGGGAAATTTTCTTTCTTTTTTTTGACTTTTGATTATCTGCCAGACAAGTTATGGAATGAATAGACGGAGATTATGCAGACACAGTGCTAACATAATAGTTCAACTTTCCACACAATACATGTAAGGATAAACCATGCTAGAGATATCTGTCTTAAGAAGGTCAAACAACATTTTTACTGTATTTACTACCAACTTATGGAATTTTGGCGACTTAAAAGTCTATTCAAGACTCGGAAACTATTTTCAATATTGCCGCAACTCAGAGTTCCAATCATGTTTGCCAACCCTATGAGTTGATTAAAAATGAACTCTAAGCCAAAAAGCCGATTTGATTGATCTCAAATCAAAACTGATTTCTTAATCATGACCGCTGATATTGAAACTGAGTCCTAATATTTTTGCCTCATCAGAATTTCCGTCGGTAAACCAGATGAAACATTCTAAGTGCAGTCAATTCGATGGAAAATTGTAGGAATTTCCGGGAAAAACAAAATCAACCCTGCGGGTTACCTCATTTGCTCGATTCTACAATCATGTCCACAGGCGTAAAAAAGATAAGCATTTTATTTTGTCAGACCAACTCGTTTACCCCTACTACTAAACAACATATCACTCCTATACTCATGTGACTTCAAATGCCACATTTTTACGACTTAGTGTTTGTTTTCAGGTAGAGATTCCAAAGTCACTACCTACTCGTTGTGAAAATTTGCACTTGGCAAAGGAACATTCCAACAAAACGTAACAAAATAATATAAAATCCTTCGGTTTCCTACTCTAACACCTAGCACGCTTTAAATTCCGCCACATCTGATTACGAAAAGATTAATTGAGATGGTCCTCTGACTGCACACTTTGCTCAACAAACCCAGATTCCTGGGGGACATTCGTGGTCACCATTCTGCAAGCTCTTGGTCTTTGAGTCCCCTGTTTCCGCCATATTTCCTCCAAGAGGGGCCTTGGGTGTCTTTTGCTGTTCAGTTGCATTAGAGGGTAATGCTGTCGGAGTAGACGCCTCGACTGAGCTCCCGCTTGTTGCTATGGTGGCTAATGTACCCAAAGAAGTCACCCCGACCTGATCAGAGGCGTGCTCT